GAAGAAGAAGAAGAAGAAGAAGAAGAAGAAGAAGCAGCAGCAGCAGCAGTAGTGTCGGGACTGATTCAGATCCAATTTTAGGTGTTTTACGGTTTTATTTAGGGAAAAAAAATGTTAAAGTACCATTTTACCCTTAAATTTTAAGGTTAAATTGGATAATTTTGTCAAATTGAACAAAAGAGAAAAAGCCAACGCTTTGGGCACCTAAGTAGTGAAGCGGGCGCTTCACTCCCGCTTCACTAAAGTCTGGCGCTTCACTAATTACTGAAGCGCCAAAGGTGCAGACCGCTCCGCTTTACCGCTTAAGCGGTTAAAGCAGACGCTCTTGACAACACTGTGTGAGATAAAACATCTCGTAAGTAAAAATATGAATAGCCCATGGGTAAAATTTTAAGCATGCCAGATAAACAATTTAACACAACAAAATGTTCAATGATAAACCGTTAATACAAAATCAAATTCAGTTCAATAGCAAGGCGTTCAATGACAAACCGTTAATACAGAATCAGATTCAGTTCAATAATAAAGCGTTCAATGACAAACCGTTAATGCAGAAGAAAATTCAGTAGTAGTCTCATCTATAAGTCATGGCCAACGTTTAACACCCACTGCCAAGCGTCAAAAATTACCAATGTATTCGCCCATTGGCAGGCGTCAGAATTTACCAATGTATTCGCCTAGTGGCAGGCGTCAAAAATTACCAATGTATTATCTCATTGGCAAGATTACAGAATGAACCAATCATATCAGTAAACATGTCGACATGTGCTAGCATTACTCCCACTAGCGGGGGTCAGAAATCATGACTATATTAGAGACATAACCATGCAGGATTTACAGAAAATCCATAATTCACAATCAACTCAAATTCTAGAAATAAACCGAAAAATTCCCATGTGGGCATGGATTTAACAAAAATCATAATTTACAAAAATTTTCAAATCATCATAGCAATGAAGTAAATTCCAAGTAGGCATGCTCTACTCAATTAAAATGAAAATAATTCCATTTCAAACCAGTCATACTCGGTGCTAATAAAATCAATTTAAACCTTGCCACCATCTCAAAAACAATTTAAAACATGTTTTGAAATCGAACGGCGTTACTATAATTTACTTACCTCACTCGCATAAAATCGTAGACTCAATCCAAGTGCTAAAATGCCCCAAGGATCAAGAACCTAACCAAAATATTCCGAAATTAATACCACACTATCACAAATTCAAAGTGAAATCATTATTAAGACTATCCCTAATCACGATGTTATTTCTATCAATCTTCACATGACTGGACATCTCCAAATTTGGTTTTATATTACAAACTAAACATTTAAATCCCCGTTAATTGTTGGCCATTAGTGCATGAACAGTACCCGTGAACCGCGAACAGTAATTACGCCATGAACAGTAACCACGACTTCCAAAAATTGGCAAAACCATAGCTAATCTCATGGGATTTTCTCCAAAAATCACAGCAGCCAACTCAAGCAATTTATACATCAATTAAGCTTAATTATGCTCTAATTACTACTGAAATTCATCCCCATTTTTCAGCAAAATTCGGACAGCACAGGGCAGCAATTTAACAGACAAATTTCCAACAACTAATGGGTAATTTGGGACTTAAATGGAGCTACCACTTACCATAATTTAGCAAGCAAAGCTGGAGCTGCAGTTTAAGGAGGAGCCGACGGGAATTGCAAAAAATTCAGGGGGATCTACCCAAAAATTGGAGAAACCAACAGAAATTAGAGTAAACCCAAGCCAAATCAAGTGAGAAAAGAGAATTTAATGGTTGTTCCCCCTTACCAGAACCGGAAAAATCACACCCAACAATGAAGAGCAGCCGACGGGAGGACAGAGCAGAGCAGATCCGGAAATTCCTGCAAGGGGGAGGTTTCTAAGCTCAAATCTTGTTCTTGAACAAGAAAAGAAAGGCAACAATCATCAAGCTTTACTGGTTTCTTCCAAGGGGAGTTATGGGTCGGCTTGGGTCTTCTTGTTCGGTGCAGGGAGAAGAAGAAGAAGAGCAGAATCGGGCTGAAGAAGAAAGAGGAAAAGGAGAAAAAAAAAAGCTGATCCTTATCCAAAATTTTCTCTTTTAAGTCCCTCAAGTTTGGATATTTTAGTTAATAAGCCCCAAAATAATATTTTTTCACACAAAGGTCCTTAACTTAAATGCTTGAATTTTAGAAAATTTGGGATATTACAATGAGTTTTTAGATATGTCCTCCAAAAAAAAAAAGTTTTGGGATGACGACCTACAAAACACTTTTATCATATGTTGGATGTTGGCTCAATGCACTCGAAGAAGGGGGTGAATTAGAGTTTAAAAAATTTCTTCCTTTTTGCAACCACAAAGCAAAAATCAAAGAGAATAGAGAAAAGAAACTTGCACAAAGACTTTATAGAGATTTGATTCAATCATTTGACACTTAGTACTCTACCTTGGGTTCACTCACCAAGAATTTCTTCCACATTCTCCACTAACAAAAACAAGGGTGACATAAAGGAGTCACTCAATCCCTTTATAAGAAGATGGGTTTTCTCAAAAATCTCATTCATTTACAAAACAAACCTAACAATCCTCACTACAAATTACTCTTGAAGGAATAATCACACCGTAAAGATAACTCTCAAAGAAAACAAATAGAGGATTACAAGTAAGGATCACTCAATGATCAAAATCTCAAGTTAAAACATAAGAATTACAAATTGGTAGATGAAAGATATATAGGTATAGCATTGCATACAAATTTTTATATTATAACACAAATAATAATAATAATAATAATAATAGAAGATAAAATTCAACCTTGCAAGCTGCAAAGATTCAAATTCTTGTCTTTCTAAATGACAGAAACAAATCTCACCATCAAGACAAGGTGAACTCTAATTCACATTTTCAATAGAAATATGTTTATTAGATATAATAGGTAATTTATATATTTTAATATCACTTAGTCAGACTAGCAGTTTAACCAATTCAACTAGCTAAATTAAAAACCATCAGAAAAAATGGTTTGATTTTTTATTTGATTTTAAAAACATTGTTTAAAACTACGTTATTTTAGAGTTTAATTCTTTATACAACTCATGAATAAAATAGAGACTAAAACTAGGTGTAACACAGTGCAACATGATCAATGCATGGATAATAAACACGTGGACACAAGCTTAAAATTTACCCCTTCTATTTCAAAATAATTGTTACTTTTTATTTTAAATTTATCTAAAATTAATCATTATTTTTTTTAAGGTAGAGATAAATATTTTTTCTTATTTTAATTTTATTATTATTTATTTACTTTAATAAATCATTTTATTATAAAAAGTCTCTCTTTATCTTTTATTTTTATTAAAAATAATATAAGTAAACACATATTATCTCTAAATTCTTAAATTAGAAAAAAAATTTAATAGCTATAGTGATTTTAGGATTGGCAGTAGTTTCTTTGTACCCGTGGTTCATTTTTTCCTCTTAAAATATTATCAAGATTCATGGCACCAACAATTACCTAGGTCAATAAAAGGAATTAAAATAGAAAAAAAAAAACCTTGTTAAGCGTATTCTTTTGTTTTTTTTTTTTTTTTTAGAAAATCATTCCTTACATTGCGCATGCCGTGTTAGGTAATTATAATTTTTTTAACATTTTATTTAAAATTTTGGCAAGTAAGTCATTGTAACAGGTGTTTTAACCTCAAGATTTAGATGTATTAAATAAATATTACTCTATAAGTTTAAGTTTGAGATTTAAATCTTAAAGTCAACATTAAAATTAATTTACTTAGATACACTAAACTGATATGTATAGGGGTGTGTTATTAAGATTATCTAGAAAGAGAGTCCCAGAGTGTATAAAAATTAATTCAGGTACACCTTGATCGAAAATATTAAAAAAATAAAAAATGATTTTGTAACAACGTTTGTGACTTTGTGTACTAATATTGTTTTATATAATCTTAAGTGTTATTTAAATGATTCATTCTTTTTATTCATTTAAGACATATGGTATTAAATGCATTTATTCATTTAATGACATATTAAAGTTATATAAAAAGATAATACAAAAAGGTATCACTACTCAAAAAATATTTATTTTTAAAACTTGAAGAGGTATAATAGTATGAAGTAAATAGGACATTTTTTTTATTAATTTGTATGAAAAATAAGAAAAAAAAAAGTAATTTTATTTTCAAAATTAACATCACTTAAATATTTTAATTAACTAGTTGGTAAAATTAAAATTAAAATTTATTTTTTATAACAATTAATAAAATAAGATGTGATTAATGGAGTTTGCACAAGTTAAAATACCATTGTACGTATTAGTAAAAGCATATCGTTTCTTTTTCTCCATCGCATATCCTTTGAAAACAACACACGTTCATGAACGTCAAAATAAAAAGTGGAAAACAACCCACCAGGGCACCTAACTATTGGTCTATATATTTTGGTGCCTTTCCAACATTCACTTTTCATCAGTACGTCTCAAAACTCACCTCTCTTCTTCTCCGATCATTGCAGTACTGCTCCATTGACAACCAAACTAAACACCGGTTTCTTTCCTTCTAACATGGCCGTTGTTCTTTGTGGGGCCAAAGAGAATGCCACCACCACAACTCTGCTCAGCTTAATACCAAGAAGCTGTAGCAAACAGAGGAGGTCCAGATTGTGTCCGAGAATGAAACTCTCAACTAGGGTCTTCTCCTTTTCAGGTGTGCTCGCAAACGCGGCAAGATCTTCCGAGGAGAAGGTATATGAGGTTGTCTTGAAGCAGGCTGCTCTAGGGAAAGAGCAGAGGAAACAGAAAGCTTTGGATTTGAGCACAACAGTCGAAAACGATGGTATTTCCAGTGGGGATCTCTTGAATGAGGCTTATAATCGTTGTGGTGAGATTTGTGCTGAGTATGGCCAAGACATTTTACTTGGGTATTTCCTCTTCCTTTTTCTTCCTCTTGCTATCTTTTCCTAAAGAACTAGTTGCTTTTTGTTTATTTGTCATGTGAATCAGAGAGTCTTGACTACTTTTATTTTATTTTAATCCAATATTCAGATCGGTTTGTTGATAAGCATATCCATACCTAATACTTTTGGACTGTACGCACATGAGATCCTATGATTAGGTTTTTTTTTATTAATGATTTCGCTCCATTTTGCTCATCTTATCTCTTTTTTTATTCGTTGGTATTTCCTTGTTTGGTTTCCTAGAAAATTATACTTGTCCCACAGTTCTGAATCTCCAAATTTTCTTTCTTATTTATGTTTTCATTTCCTATCCTCCTTAATTCTCAGAAAGAATTTAAGATGTTAAGTGCGGAAAATCTCATCTTTGCCAATTAAGAGAAACCTTTAAACAATTAACTATAATATGAGTTAGTTGGTTGATTGCCACTTGGATTTTATATTGGATGTTAGATGCTCATAGAAGAAGCGATTATACTTTCCACTTGATTAATTTAATCTGTTCTCTTCAGTCAGAAATTTGAGAATATTTAATTCCCTAGTGCAATACAAAAAGACAAAAGCAGTTTTTATGTTAGTGATCCTTTCTCAATATTTTTGGCAGGTACCTTACTAATGGGACTAGAACAGCGAAGAGCTATTTGGGCAATTTATGGTGTGTTCGGTCACTCTCATTTATCTGTCAATAATTTCATCTCTTGTGCATGTGATCCATAACCATTTTAACCAATTTCTTTGCTTTGTGTGGCTCATTTTAAAACTATTCTATTTAACTTCTTGTAGATCATTAATTTTCTGCGCTTTTGAAGCTGCTTTGTGGGTCTATTGTAAACCTCAGGATCCTCTAAGCAGTCTGTGATTCAGGAATTTTCATTATTTAGACCAAAATTGATACTATTTACTTGAAGCATTTCTAGCTTGCTATATGTTCGACCAAAATTGATATCATGTACTCAAAGAAGAGCCTTCTATTCTTTAGTGTGGTGCAGGAGGACTGATGAGCTTGTGGATGGTCCCAATGCTTCACATATGACCCCCAGGGCCCTTGACAGATGGGAAAAGAGATTAGATGATGTCTTCGAAGGTCACCCCTATGACATGCTTGATGCTGCTTTATCTGATACTGTCTCAAAGTACCCTGTTGATATGCAGGTATAAGTCCATCTGCAAGAAGTTCTTCAGACTGACTTGCATTTTAGAACTAAACTTTCTACATCTCAATTAACTAGCAAACAAGTTCATATTTGGACAGCCCTTCAAGGACATGATAGAAGGAATGAGGTTGGACTTGAGGAAGTCAAGATATAACAACTTCAACGAGCTCTACCTTTATTGCTACTACGTTGCTGGGACAGTAGGCCTGATGAGTGTTCCTGTAATGGGGATTGCACCTGAATCAAAGAAGTCTGTAGAAAGTGTCTACATTGCTGCATTAGCACTCGGCATTGTTAATCAGCTTACTAATATACTCAGGGATGTTGGTGAAGAGTAAGTTCCCCATAATTCTAAGATACTGTACTGAATTCAGAAAGATCATGGCATTTTACACCATTTAGTACACTAGCTTCCATCATTTTCTCTGGATTTTGAACATTCTTTCTGTTCTAGTGCTAGGAGAGGAAGAATATATTTGCCACAAGATGAATTGGCAAGCGCTGGATTATCGGAGGATGACATATTCCGTGGCCAAGTGACAGACAAGTGGAGAAGTTTCATGAAAGATCAGATAAAACGAGCAAGGAAGTTCTTTGATGAGGCAGAGAAGGGTGTTGCAGAGTTGAAAGCAACTAGCAGATGGCCGGTTTGGGCATCTTTATTGCTGTATCGACAAATCTTAGATGCCATTGAAGCAAATGACTACAACAACTTCACTAAGCGAGCGTATGTTGGAAAAGCAAAGAAATTTGTATCGCTGCCTGTGGCCTACGGAAGAGCATTAATGAGCACTCCCACGTAGGGTGTTTTTTCTTTGGTTAAAATACTAATTTGGTCCCTCAACTTTTAGATTTGTACCAAATCATTATTAAATTTCAAAAAATTTCAAAATTGTTCTTAAACTTTAATTTTCAATCTCAGTTTCGTCTTTCCATCAATTAAGTGATGATGTAACTAAGTATTCAGTCTAAAAATTCATTGTCTTTAATTTGAATATTGCATAAAAATGAGATGGAAATACAAATGGTTATGTCACTTATGTGACAATTTTTCTTGTTTATGTAGTATCCATGTTGGTATTATACTTTAAAAGTTAAAAACAAGTAATGGGCTCCTCTTGACTCACATATTAAAGCAACTAATTTAAAAAATAAATTATTAATTATTTTTGTTGAGGGATGAATTTGCATGGCTTTGAAATCCATAATAATTGTGGCACCATGTTAGCAAAGCCGGCTTTGGACTTGTGACTAAAAAGGGTCCACATGATTTATTTCCACATTTGACATGCTATATTCTATCTTTTGCTGATGACTGCAATGGAATCAGCATCGTTAGAAGTGGCACTCAACCACTTTATTAGGAATATTATAGACATGATCTACTTTAACATTTTTCTCATACACAAGGCCAAACACAACTACATCCATTTCTATAACAAGGTTAGACATTTATGATAATCATGATTTTTATTGCAACATTTGCTACTACTACATCTTATCGGCTCCTAAGAATGGATAAAGAGCCTATCTTGCTACATCTACATGGCTCCCATCAAAAGACAATGAGCTAATTTTATTACACCTACAAAGCTCCCAGTGATGGATGAAGGGCCATACATCTACTTTACATATTTTTATCATTGATTCTCATCAATGGACAATGAGCTAATTTTGTTACATTTACATAGCTTCCAGCAATGGACAAAGGGCCATACTTGCTATTTTACTTAGCCTCCAAAATATGCAATAAGTTACATATCTCTACACAATTTTACTATACCAGCTCTTGGAAATGGATAAAAGGTCAGATCTCTCTATATATTTTATTTATTAGTTCTCGGAAATGGACAAAAAGTCAATTTAACTCAGTGCGACTAGTGAGGCTAGTAATAATTACAACCCTACAATTGGTTAGGATGGCTACCCTCTAACGATAAAAATCCATCAAGTTGTGGTCAACGGCTCCTTGGTGGGTGCCCATGCATGGTGGAGTGATACTCAGTGGGTAAAAACAACTAGAACCTTCTTTTGACAATGTGGGTATGCTCAAGAAGGGCCATCATTCTATTGTGGTATCAAACCTTGTTCATACTGGAGGCCATGGATATGGTTGGCATCCCCCTTCCATGGTGTTGAGGGTGTGTAAGTGTAGGGGTTGATAAGTCAGCAGTGATGATGACATGGAAGCTAACTAGGATGCCACTTATAGGAAATGAGGAAGGTCCTTTTGGCTTGCACCCATTTCACATGTTAGTGGCTATGTGCCACGAGCCATCTTCCTTTCTCCAATAAAGATCGTCACCAACAAGTTCTCCAGTGAAGTCTGAAGTTACAAAATTTCCAACCAAGCTAAAAGAGATGGGTAGCAATGACAAGGTCTCAAGAGCTAGGAATGATTACATAACTACCAAAAATTATGAAAAGGAGAAGTACATTATGGAAGGAGCAACAAGCATAAAAAATACATAAAGATCAAATATTACAACTTAAGAAGTACATTTATGTATAATACACTATAGCATAATAATAAACAAAATAAATTTGCCCTTTACTATCCTTGACGAATACTCCTATTTTATAACAAGCAGCCCTCATGTTGTAGTTAAGAGCACAATAATCTTCTTCAAACTTCCACAAAATGAAAGGAATAAACTTGAAAGTAGTGATGGGAGAAAGAAGGATGACTGTTATGGGTACTTACATATGGAGGACTTGGTTCCATTTCTTGATGCTAACTTTGGTGCTTGATCATTTGATGCTCAAGAAAATAACTCAAAATTTGAAATTGTAGTATGCAGTCCCCAGCCATGACGTTCTACAAGTCTAGAGTGTATTTTGTAAGGCTAGAAGTGCAGAAAATATGAGAAAAAAAAAAAAAGAGATTTTTAGAGATTTTAGTGTATGAGGTGAAAGGTTGAAGATGAAGGGTTCTTCAGGGGAAAAATGGGCTCTAAGCATGAAGAAGAAGTTAGATCTCTAAAAATCTCTCATAAATTTGTTGAAAAATGAACAAAAACTTGATAGATACATGTAATGGCATTTCGGTAATTTTGAGTTAGTGGGTCAGAGTAACCCAGCAATCTAACGGCTAGATCTAGGTTTAGTAAGGACGGTTATTGAGCTTTGCGTGAATCTGAGCATTGTTGATAGCTTTTTGAAGTGAAATAATAACTTGTCTAGTGGTTTCAACGAACGACTTATGGTTTGCTGGAGACTCCCCATTTTTGGTGCTTCTTCATCCATATGAAATGCCATATTTAGGGGGGCACTTGAGCATTGCTAGTAAAGCCATTCCTATCCCAAATTTTGGTGATTTTCTGAAACAAAATATAATCTTTTTTAATAGTTTCCAATGCAATGGAACTTGTGTAGCCACCTAAACATTAAATATAGCTATAGACTGGTGATGAAGACTCAAATAGCATCTTTTGTTGATTTTTAAAAAAGATTCAAGGCCTTTTAGTTAGCATCAAATGATATAGTTTTAGGATCAAGCTTTGCCTCCACATCTTTGCCACCTGCTCTTCCTAGTGAAGTTGGGCAACATTGCTAGCTCCAAGCTTAATTGGCATGAATACCTTACTTCGCCAAACGGGCGACTTTCATCCATCCATGCTTACCAATCCATTACTCCCATAGTTTATCCCAAGCAATCCCATGAACTTGGATTTATGGGTTTGTGTTCATCTGCAACAAAAACCAAAACATGAATGAGTATTTGTTCAAATGTATAAGTGTGAAACGTATAAGTATATATAGTGAAGAAGAATACTCCTTTGTATATTAAAGGGGATGTTGAGAATGAATATTGCCATGCCTTTTTATCCATTAGCCATGGTGAGCACTTGTATAATACTGTTGTGTATGTCTGATGTGCCAAAATAAAGAAAGAGTAATATGGATGTGTGCCGCAGTATTTTTTTACCAAACCAAGGACTACTAGTAGACAATACTTGCCAACACCTAAAAATATAGAAGAAATATGTTGTAGATTGGGATTATCGGTGACTAGTAATTTTGTCCTTTTATATAGAAAAACAATAATGTGCATGGCTGTCAGCCATGTTGTATGAATGTCCTAGGGTCAGCCATGAATAACTTCCCCGTAGTTAGAGGGACAACAGTGGCTAGCTTTGCCTATAGCTGAAGCATGAACTATGTGGAATTAGATGAGCATTCCCATTAATCCACCAAGCTGCGAAAGGGATATATCTCATTAATCTAGGACTTTTCCATAGCGATGAATATGTGATAAAAATGGGTGGAGTTTCGTCCATGAAAGGGGGACACCATCCATATCCATGGCCTCTGATATGATAAGGTGTGATACCACAGTCAAACGCTGGCTATTTTTTGTTGTATTGGCACCATCAAAGGATGGTCCTAGTTGTTATTGCTAACTAGGCATCACACCACCATGCATGAGTGACCACTAAGGAGCCACTGGCCACAACTTGATGGATTTTTATCGCTAGAGGGTAGCCATCCTAACCAATCGTAGGGTTGCAATTGTTATCGATCTCATGCTAATCATACCAAGTTGCGTTGACTCTTTGTCAGTTAATGGGAGCTAGTGAGATAAAATGTGTAGAGATTTGACCATTTGCCCATTTTTAGGAGCTGGTGTAATGAAGATATGTAGAATTATGTAGCCTTTTGCCCATTGTTAGAGGCTAAATGAGATAGCAAATTTGTTCCTTTGTCCATCATTGGGAGTTGTGAAAATGTAATAAAATTAGCTTATTATCCATTTTTGGGAGCCATGTATGTATAGCAAAATAGGCTTTTTGTCCTTTGTTGGAAGGTAAAAAGATGTAGCAGTGAATGTTGTAGTAAAGATCATGATCATAAGAAATATCCAGCCATATTGTGGAGATAGATGCAGCCAAGTTTGGCCATGTTTATTGTCATAACCCAATTTTAAATAGGGGATAAATAATGACATTGAAAGCCAATATTCCATTTTTGTAAAAGCATGAAACTTGAAGGGCTGAGAGAAAGAATTGGCAAAACAATGTCATTTTGCTTGTGGGTTAAATTAAAAAAAAAAACAAGGGTCAAGGTTCAGTCAAACCCTAGCCCTCAATTTTCACGATTCCTCTTGCTTCCTCTTCTTTTGCCGCCAACCACTCTCCCAAAATTCCCAAATTCTTTTGGTTTATCTCTAAATTTACTTGTGTTTGGATAGATTATGACATCAGTATAAAAGAAATATTTAGATTAGAAGTCTTCAACAAGTATCATAGAAGAAGATTTTGAAGTCGATTCAAATTGAGAGTCTTGAGCTTTAAGAGATATGAATCTAACCTTGAAAGAGGGAATATGTGTGAAGAACTAAGTCAGTTTTAGAATTCTAATAGGACAAGATTATTATCTGTAATTTTAGGGATTTGGATTAGAGCTTAGAATTAGAAAATGATTTGGGTTCCTTTTCCCTTTGTCTACAAAACGAGATTCGGCAAGCCAAGGGGAATGGGAGGTTGAGAGATCGAGAGGGAGGCAGAGTGGAGGAATTCGGAAGGAAAAATTATAGAGATTAAGAGATTTTTGATCCAAAAATTGAGTGAAAGGAGTGAAAAAAAATAATGAAAAAAAAAAAGTAGTGTAAAAGTAGGGTGATATAGGACAAAAAAAAAAAAAAAGAAGCAGAGGGAAAGGTATGGCAAGGTGTGAAGCAGAGAACATATTGTATTCTTGGAGTTTTCTACAACTAAATAAGATTGAATTTCTCAACTTCCTAAGGTGTGTTTTCATTTGAGAATATTGAAGAATTTGGAGTGTGAATCTCCATTCTTTTATCTCTTTATTTATTCTTTCTATTGTTTTTTGGTGGCTTTATTAATCTTTTTTTTTTTTTTATGATTTGTTTGTAAGAAATTTGAAGAAAGATAATATTTATTGGTTGTATCCTTGTTGCATTCAAGTTTTCTTCATTTATTTGTTTCCTCCTATTC